TAGTTGATACAAGGGCATTGTTCCATAGGTGATACAAGGGCATTGTTCCATAGGTGATACAAGGGCATTGTTCCATAGGTGATACAAGGGCATTGTTCCATAGGTGATACAAGGGCATTGTTCCATAGATGATACAAGGGCATTGTTCTATAGGTGATACAAGGGCATTGTTACATAGGTGATACAAGGGCATTCTTCCATAGGTGATACAATGGCATTGTTCCATAGGTGATACAATGGCATTGTTCTATAGGTGATACAATGGCATTGTTCCATAGGTGATACAAGGGCATTGTTCTATAGGTGATACAAGGGCATTGTTCTATAGGTGATACAATGGCATTGTTCTATAGGTGATACAAGGGCATTGTTCCATAGGTGATACAATGGCATTGTTCCATAGATAGGTGATATAAGGGCATTGTTCCATAGATAGGTGATATAAGGGCATTGTTCCATAGGTGATACAAGGGCATTGTTCCATAGGTGATATAAGGGCATTGTTCCATCGGTGATACAGGGGCATTGTTCTATATGTGATACAAGGGCATTGTTACATAGGTAGGACAAGTGCATTGTTACATAGATAGGTGGGACAAGGGCATTGTTACTGAGGTGATCTGTAGATAAGGCAAGTATATTTTGTCACTACAACACATTTTAAACCAATTAACCAGGTACAAGGCAGTGTATCTACACTTACTTCGGATGCACCTTAAATTATTTCAATACCAGTATGTATTTTATACCACTATAACAGGATAATGTAACTGTGATATCCTGTATCTCAATATTTTGTTAAACTAATAATATAAAGTGAAACACATCACCGAGTTGTGGTTCCTGCTCAGTTTAGATTTACTTTCCCAAATTCACTTGATACTTAAGCCTTTCATTATGCTGCATTACTGCTCAAATCACCAATACATTGTAAAAATGTAACAAGCTATTCATGACAATAACTTCTTGTCCCCATACATGTAGCTCAAACAGACTTTGATGTTGCGGTAATGCAGTAGGTGACAGTGTACTGAACATCGACCCTAGATGTTATCTATCATAAACTTCAATAGCGTGGTGGTTCGGGGGAGATGAGGGGGGGGGTAAAGATTTAAATGCTGGGGGGAGGGGGTGATATTGGTATTATAGCGCGTGTTAGTGTGTGTAGTACACAGAGTAGTACGATTAATGGTGAAGGCTATCTAGAAATATGTAAATAATCTCCAATAGTCTAAATTGTCAAAATAATTTTTTCTATATTTTAATTAATACATCTGGCGTAAAATAAAAAAAAGCAGTCTTTTTAGCATTAAAATATAAGGGCGTTGCCTTCTCAAATTGACTCGATATTTCTCATCTGTAAGGTCGAGGTCCTATTTAACTACCTTATAACTCAACACAATATATCTGTACGTAGATTAAATAAATATGACCACCCGGGGCTTCCACCCCCCCCCCCCCCCAATCAACCGCACAATCCCCACCTCTGCTTAAAGGTCCGTAAAATCCTATCAGACGGCTAAACAAGATGTTTTTATCGCAACCAGCAAACATTTTTTTGTCTGTGATAAATAAGATAATTATAAAAACAAGGTGAGTAATTAACTTCCCCCAACAGTCTAGCTGTCATGGAGCGGATTATGGTTTCCAATCAACATGGTCATCAAGATCTCAAATTCCCCCCCCCCCTCGCTGTGATCGTCTGAATAACATTCCCAGGTACGTACTCTCTACCCCACCCATCCCCGCATGTAAACACATTTATTATATCCACATCGGGTAATACAATGTCTATATTTAGCTTGTCATGATAGATTAGCCCCGATGTTGTAATACCGAGGTACGGTCTGGTACAACATGGCGGTTATTTACTACGTTTTTGGGGTACTTATCTGTTGTATGGTAGCATGAGACGTGGCCTGTATATGCCTACAGATTGGGTTGGTTGTTTATGGTGTTGTTATGGTGTTGTTGTGGTGTGGGATGGTGTTAAGGTGAGGTTATGGTGAGGTTATGGTGAGGTTATGGTGTTATGGTGTGATTAAAGTGTGGATATAGTGCGGAAATGGTGTGGTTATTCTGCGCTTATGGTGTGTTGATGGTATGTTTACAGTGTGGTGTTATAGTGTGGATATGGTGTGGTAATGGTGAAGTTATGGTGTGTTTATGGTGTAGTTATGGTGTTGTTATGGGGTGGTTATGGTATGTTTATAGTGTGGTGTTATAGTGTGGATATGGTGTGGTTATGATGTGGTTATGGTGTTGTTCTGGTGTGATTAAAGTGTATATATAGTGCGGATATGGTGTGGTTGTGGTGCGCTTAGGGTGTGTTTATGTTATGTTTATTGTGTGGTGTTATAGTGTGGATATGGTGTGAATATAGTGTGGTTATAGTGTGGATATGGTGAAACTATTGTGTAGATAATGACAACGAAAGGGACATACATGTATGATATAGCACTCCTTGGACACATGGGGGGGGGGGTGAAATTATAAAATGTGTATGTGTTTTTTCTTTAACGTATTGTGTGTGTGTGGGGGGGGGCGAAATTTGGTGACTGTGAAGGGGGCTAACACTAGGTTTTTTTAAATGCATGATGTGGCTAATGAAAAACCACTTAAGGTTTGTGTGAGGATAACACTGTAGATCACGAATGAAGATGGTCAGTTATAGACTTGATAGTTTTATATTAGAAATGGACGCACAACGTAACTAATATTTAGGAGTTTTGAGATTTGTTCCACTGAGAGACACGGCCTGAAAAACGGATGTGAGTTCCTGAGTTTGATTCAGTGCTGAGAGGCAGGTGCTGGTGGGAGGAGAGTGATACACAACATGTTACACAATCCTGTATGGTGCCGACCGGATGTGATGGTATGGTCAGTGGTTACATAATTCCTTCTGAACACAGCATAGAATACCATAGCATACAGCAATCTACCTATCTCAATAGAAATACAAGTAGGGGAATATGCGTTAAATTTTGATTTTCAATGTGTGAAGTTTACGTTGATCTCTCTTACGTAAACAAGAATAAAACGAAAGGTAAGTAACCCGTAATTCATCCATCCATGTTATTATCTCCCTTTTTATATTTTTGTAAATACGTGTTGATTGTCTTTTTAAATCAAGGGAAGGAATCAACTTCGCTTCCATCAGCAAGAAATTACCTGATTTTCTTCCCTTATAAATAAATGCCTTTTTTGTGGAGACATCCATAAGGACCCTAATCTCAATCGCGTTTTTCTTTTCTCAATTAGTTTAGTTGATTTAGAAATGTGTTTCAGCAAATGTCACATTTGCAGTGTAAATCGCCACCAATCTTTGTGTAGTAAAAGCCTTGAAATTGTCGTTAAGTGGACAGGGAGAGCATAGGGTCAGAGGTTAAAGCTGCTCACTGGCTCAGACATACAGAACCCTCACTGTGTCAGCTTGTGTCAGTGCTAATCAGACAACTGCTTATTCAGACAGACTCTCAGCCAGACAACTTCTAAAACAGGCAGACAACTTCTAAAACAGGCAGACAACTTCTAAAACAGGCAGACAACTTCTAAAACAGGCAGACAACTTCTAAAACAGGCAGACAACTTCTAAAACAGGCAGACAACTTCTAAAACAGGCAGACAACTTCTTACGCAGGCAGGCCAATGCTAACAGTCAACTAGAGAAATAAAATTGTATCTAAAAACAGATTGTAAAAACACCATTTAATTTAGCATTAAATACTTTAGTCCTGATAGAAAAATAATCTGAAAACAGACTATTGTCTTTGATAGCAGATTTGATTGACCGCTATAAATAATGGACAATATTCAAAAGTTCGATAAAACATGCACAAGCAGTTAAACATTACTCCACCACTAAAAATAAATTCACTAAATTTTAAATGAAACTGAGTTTAAGTGAAAAATAATTGTATGCTTTATAATTTTCAACTGAAACTGAAACATCCATAACAACTATTTTAAAGATTTCAAAGATGCTTTCGCTATTTCCATTATAAATGTTACATTTTTCAAATAATGTCAATGTTAATGTCAAAACACCTGTGTTTGAACACTAATTTTTCTTGCATATATTTTTTTCAGTTGAGTAAACCCCATATATGAAGGGTAAACTTGTAGCACTGACCTTATTGATTAAAAGGACTTGTGTGTACCAGATTCTATTTTGCACTATTTATATTATGTTCAATTCTGCAAAACAGTAGGCCTATACGTCTATAATGCTTTTGTTTTTGTAATATATAATATATATTTTACATTTCAAGATATAACGGTCCTATATTTGCTTAAAGATTTATACATATAATAGACGTTTTTAAAAATAAAAAATTAATGATTATTTGTCTAAAATATTCATATAAAATATGGAATTAAATATTTAATGGTATCTTTTTTATGGATTGTAAAGTTTTGTTTTTATCAGTTTTCATTTTAAAATGCGTTAAGAGTGATTTGAAATGCATGGATTTAATGCACCTATTTCTTTTATTACTCTTCTTAAATTCTAGATGTTATTTTGTTTTTATTTAAATATATTAGTATTTCGAAACAAACTGCCTAAAATGATGTTCGACATGTTGCATTGAAATGTTTGCTACACATTTTACTGAAAGAAAAAGTGAGAAATAAAAATGTCTGACACGCATGCAAACTCAAATATTAAAGGAAATATAATCAATACAAAAGCTTTGTAGAATGTTGTAGAAATATCACAAGATTCTGTACTCTATAATGGTTTATAAAGTTTTCTTTATTAAAACAATATCAGGGTGGATAGACATTTGGACTGAACGATTTAACTACAACTGCGCATATTCTTCCCGAATTGTGGCAACAAAAACGATATAATGTTATAAGAAATTAATAGTTAATATATATATATATATATATATATATATATATATATATATATATATATATGTATATATATATATATATATATATATATATATATATATATATATATATATATATATGATTGTGTGTGTATTAAAGTAAAGATAGAGAAAATAACGATGTATTAAAAATAGCTATTTAAAAAAGTTAAACACAAATACAGGAGCAGGAATAAATGTACAGTAATCTAAGATACTCAAAAACCGCGATACTGTCGACGAAAAGCTCTCCGGATTGGGGGCCGAGGTCGCTGAGGCGGGGTAGGTAGTATTCCTAACCGTCGCAACCATCCACGTATTCGTGCTGACAAAGAATATATATATATATATATATATATATATATATATATATATATATATATATATATATATATATATATATATATATATATATATATATATATATATATATATAAAATATATATATATATATATATATATATATATATATATATATGACATTCTATCATAATTTAATTATATGATATACATGACTACTAAAATCATAGCTACCACTCACACGTTGATTGCTGGTCCTTTTCAAAGCAGTTATAATATAACTTATATCCAAGCCAAAGAGAAGCTCAAATTTACAAGAAAACAATTACTGAATAAATTTTCCTGTCCTTAAAACAAGAGAGAGGATTTAGCCAAGGAGAAGCTTCCAGGCATCTCGGAGCCCCCCCCCCCCCCCCGAAGCAAGTATACCGCCCCCCCCCCCCCCAAAAATGTCAAGTGCCCCCCCCCCCCCGGAGAAAATAGTCTGGAAGAAACACTGGATGCTTATCTAACGCTAGATCTCGCCGATGTTATACTACACTGTGCCACATAATTCATTTCCGTGAATTGAAATAATAAATCATGAAGTGAGAAGAAAGATTCGCTTACGCATTATTGGTCGCTGGATTGGAAGTCTCATCAGCTTGCAGAGTTGGTTTGCCAGGAAGAGACACAAATAAAGCCCAAGGCAATACGATATGGGAGCCAGAAAAATATTTGAGAAAGCAAGCCAATTGCAGAATATGAAATATTTCACATCACTGTGGATAAAAACAAAAACATACCTTCTACATATTTAAATTAAACACTAGATATATTCACGTCAATAATACAAAAGTAAAACATTTTAGGCGCCACTATTTTTTAGTTATTTTAATATAAATAACCAATTTTATTTTATACAGCATTTGGAGAATACTGTAATCTCTCATAAATATATAACGATTTTGGCAGTTTTCGCCTTTTTATACCAGCCCAATTTATCTCATACAGAATATTAAGTATGATAAAAAAAATGAGGTTTTGAAAAATATCGCCGTTTTTTTCCTGATGCAACATTCAACACCGCTTAATATATCTTACCTGATGCAACATTCAACACCGCTTAATATATCTTACCTGATGCAACATTCAACACCGCTTAATATATCTTACCTGATACAACACTCCTTGTCATCACCGCAACATCCATAAGGGCAATGTTTGAGTGTTTGCATTGACCACCATGTCCATGACCAGTTAGAGACTACACATGTCAAGTCTACTTGTTCCTTCCAATCGATCTCATTTTTTGAATATCTTTGTTCACTGTAAAAAGAATAATTATTAAGAGAATGAACCCATAAATGAACGAACAAACGAACGAACGTACGAAAAATGATTGCACACATAAAGGAATGAACAAAATAATTAACAAACAAACGAACGCAGGAAAGAACAATCGAACGATCGCACGAATAAACGAAAGAACCAAATAATTAACGAACGAACAAATGAATGATGGATTAAGAGAATAACGGATGAGCTCATTAAGGAATAAATGGTTGCATGAACGATTGAGCTAATAATTAGTAGTCTGCCCTTCTAAGCAAAACATTCATGCCTACCAAAATATAGTTTATTATTAATCTAAACTTTAAGTATTTGACTTGTTTAATAAAGGTTTAACTCGTGTATGTATATAATGATTCCTTTATTTAATGAAAATCAATTTTCAAGTCCATCCATCTCAGCGTCAAAATTCGTCTAAGCTTTGTCTATTTGTACCAGGTGAAGTTAATAAAACGGTATGGACAACAACTACACTTGTATTAAACGTAAATTCTTATTAATCTCTAATCTAAGACTGGTAAAATCAAACATACCTCACATTACTACAACAGTATCCACTTCCGTACGTACCACAGCAGTAGAGTGGGCAATAGATGAATTCTTTATAAACCGTATCACCTATTATTTTATGCGAGCTGATGCAAAACTCGCACGTACCTTGTGATTTGGACATTTGTTAGTGTCGAGGTATCAAAAGAGGGTTTTATTTATTTAAAAGAAATATTTTTGATTATTACGAGGTAAATTATACATTGTTTTTAAATCAAGTTTAGCTAAAGTGAATCGGCTTTTTTTAATGGAACAACTCAATTGTGTAAATCTCTGTCTGGTAACTATCGCAAGCCTACAAAATCCCAATGAGCAATCGTCTTAATTAAAATGATATCTTTAGGTCACCACAAAGCGATCTCTTCTGAACAATTTAATAGGACTCTATCGCCTTAATTAAAACGATGTTATCTCTAGTGATAAAATGTAAGTTACATTTTTAAACTTCTCTAAAAGATGTGTTAAACGTTTACATTAAAATCGTGTGTTTGTTTGAGTGAGCAACTTACCAGGGACAAAAAGGAAACAAACCAACAACAGAGTCATGTTACCATAGCTCAGGTGGCATCGAACTGTCTTTTGGGATCTGTAACAATATGTAACACTATGTATAGGTGAACTAGAATCTTACTAGAGAAATGGACATCAGAAAAAGGGGACATACCTATGTTAACATCTTTATTGGCGATCTGACTGGTTCATGATTTCACGCGGATTCACAGTCAACTATGAGCACTTGGTCAAAGATTTTTGTGGGTCACGTGGTCCAGAGATTTAGTTGATAGCCAGTGTAAGTATAGGTGTAATGAAGGGTTATATGGGACAACGTGGTCCAGAGATTTAGTTGATAGCCAGTGTAAGTATAGGTGTAATGAAGGGTTATATGGGACAACGTAGCCTAGCGAGAGTCTCAAGTTCGAATCCGGTTCAAATTAGTGGAACGTCCCTGTGACCTCGCAGCTCTGATGGGTACCTATACACGTTAGGAAAACTAAGCCGCCTGGGCATAGTGTGGACCACACTATCTCTTCATATGCCGAGGTCTCTGAATCAGATGAAATCTACTTCATCTGCCCCATGTGTCTTGGACACAAACAGTATTTAGAGAGAATGAAGGGTTATACCTTCAAATTCCGTTTAGTACATTAATCATTAATATTATTCTCCAACTACAGCATAATATGGAACAATTAACATTTTGGTAGATCAGGAAAGATTAAAAAAGATTAAAAATAAATACTGCTAAGTATACCTGAGTAATTCCCAATTTCTTGCTCAATTTTTACTTAACAGAGTATAGTGGAACTTATTAAAGTTTTTAAAAAAACGAAAACTAGCTTTTAATGAACGTCAGCATTTGAGTTAAACTCACCTTGAAAGTATAAATGGTGAGTCAGGTGATGCTTCTTGTGATTCAGCTTTGTTACTCCTGTCTTCCATGTTTACATTTTCTTTTCATTTTCTTTATATTTTCTCTTAGTCACGTCTGGAAATACTTAAGTATCACTACAGAATGTCAATATAAAACAAAAGCATTAATAACTCAAACTTATATGTTTTAATCTAAAATATAGTTTAACTAATTTAAGATAAGCGTCATGGTTTGTAAATCACGTACTTTACACACTAAAAGAAGTATTTTTATTTTAAGTTTGTAACAGCGAAATACGCAATGAATACTGATTTTACTTCAAGTAAATAGAAAGTCATTTGTAAAAAACAATGTGTAAAAGACAAGACACCATTATTATAACCGATGAAGCAAGGCAATTAAGTTCTTACCAAAATCAACATTTAGCCTGGTAAAAAGTTTAAATGATCCTAAAGAGAAGAGCAACACGACTCGCTTTAAAACTATATGATAGAAGGTTATGTCTTGACAAGCTTGTATTCAATTCGAAACGATTGTTTGTTTTTCAAGCGATCTCATAAATAACTAGCAATACTAGCGTAAAGTAGGCAGTCCGAAAGAAATTCTGAAGACGAGAACTAGTAGTTGATATCATAGAGGTTGATATCATAGTAAATTGTTCCTTACTTCTTGATGTACTCTATCATTTTGAGTTTCCGTTTTGGAGCAGATTTTGCTTTTAATTGGGAAGCTCTCATCTGCTACGCGCTCGTGCGCAAAAATTAGAATTAACATACAGCGTTGGAAATTAAGCTAAACAAGCAATATTACTCTCTACCTCTACTTTGTAATATGGTTGTTAAATAATTATTTGATTTCAAATAGAAGGTTTCAATCCGTAACCGAGAAAGTAATAATAATATGGTTTTGCAGTTTTCTTATTTTAAGCGCATTTGGAAAAAAAAGAACTTAGGTTTTAGTTTTTATGCACGTATTCTATTGCAAAAAAAAAACAATTTTAAATGCCTTTAATAAACCTAGCAGTAAGAAATAAGACACATTCAAGCGCATCGAAAATAATAAAATAACCTACATAGGGCCTCGGTGGTCCGCAGGTTTCTCTGAGTTGAACGACTTTGATGTATCCCAGTGCTATAAAATGTGGCTCGTACAAGCGACCAGTATTCCACGATTGAGCAGATGCTCAAGCACTGTCTAAAGGCCCTAAATGTCTTGGAACGGTACAATGGGAGACTTGGTAAGTTTTTTGTTTTCTTACCGTTTCAAGTGGAAGTCCCCTATCAACCTGAGGCGGTCAGTCAACGACTTCTTACGTGAGTTATCTTGCTGTCCTTAATAAATTATATTTCGCCAGGCCTTAGGCAGAAAATGCCTAAAGCAGAACTCAATCTTGTACTTGATTGAGCAGAAGCTCAAGCACTGTCGAAAGGCCCTGGATGTCTTGAAACGGTACAATGGGAGACTTGGTAAGTTTTTTGTTTTCTAACAGTTGCAAGGTGAAACAACCTGAAGCGGTCAGTCAAAGTATTCCTTACGTGAGTTATCTTGTTGTCCTTAATAAATTACATCTCGCCAGGTCTCCGGCAGAAAATGCCTAAAGCAGAACTCACTCGTGTGTTTTTTTAGGACTAGATCTTGTGTCGATACCACTCTACCGGCACACAGCCTTGAAGTGGTGGGGTGGCTTATTTTACCCAGCCACCCACAGAGCTATGCCGGCGGGAGCCTAGTGCTCCTGGTAGGTTTAACCAAGTCGGGAGCCTAGTGCTCCTGGTAGGTTTAACCATCTCGTGAGCCTAGTGCTCCTGGTAGGTTTAACCATCTCGGGAGCCTAGTGCTCCTGGTAGGTTTAACCATCTCGTGAGCCTAGTGCTCCTGGTAGGTTTAACCATCTCGAACAAGTCTGTGTGGGTGGGGCCAGACGAAACGATATGCCCTGGCCCTGTGCCGGACCAAACGATACACCCTGGCCCTCCAGGTTAGGGGTTGTGCAAAGGACTAACTACTCGTTTCCGTAAAACAAACTAAACATTTATCGCTTGCAGAAAAACAGACTGTTCCAATGCCACTTATTAAAAATGTTCACAAGGCTTTAAAAGTTGGTTTTCCTTTAAATCTCAATATTAAAAGTTTATTTTTACTCTATTTCACCTGCTCCATAGATCGCCAGGTTCGAAATAGTTATTACTTAATAGTAAGAGCAGTGCATGTGTCGAAGCGTAATTACATTCTATTGAAATAGTTGCTAAGCTCATGAGTCTGTTTAGCGGCATAGTTGAACGCAAGTAAGTTTTAATTAATATCAATTTTGAAAACTGCGATTCCCTCTAGTCACGGACACTGAAAGTGTTAATCGTATTCTCAAGGAAACAACATCTGATGGTGTCATAGGCTTTGGAAGTCTTCAGCATAAATATTTTTATTAGCCTTATGCGCCAACCACGTTTCTAAATGTTTGTAGTCAGTAAGTATATCCGCAGGAGTATATTTGTGGATATTGGATTGATAATAAAGTAAGCCAAATAAAAAATTATGATGTTATAACGGTAGGAATCTCTCTTCAGTAGACTTTATAGCCATGTCTCAGGTAGTGTAGTAGAATACTACTTTTAATTTCCATTCAACATCTTGTGGTGCCTCGACTTGAGCCATGTTAACTTGGTACTCTCAACTCCTCCCACTCACTAGCCATGGTAAGTATGTATGTTATGGTGTGATTTTGGTGTTTATGGTGTTGTGGTGTGATTTTGGTGTTTATGGTGTGGTTATGATGTGGTTATGGTGTAGTTATGGTGTGGTTATCCTGTGGTTTTGGTGTGATTATGGTGTGATTTTGTTCAACAATTTATTGGCGGCATTAAAATCCATACACAGTTATATTGCATTTTACTGTTGGTACGAACTGTGATGTACACTGGGTGTTTATTTTACGTTAGTCTTTCCTGCTGACAAGAAAGGGAAGTAATTCTACTTGTATTTCATGCACTATTATTTTCAAACATTATACCCCCTACATAGTAAATTGTGTATAAGCTCGTACTTTTTAATCAAGGAAAGGAATGACTTTCACCTGCATAAGCGTCAGATATTTTTTTGAGCTACCTCCTTTTTTTAATAAAAAATTATCACTGATTTGTTTTAGTTTTTTGAATGAAATCCATCAGTGTTCCTTCCAGGCATTTCTTTGGGGAGGCGCCGCCCCCCCCCCCTCCCCCCGAAGAAAGTCTACCGCCCTCCGAACTAAATGAAATATATATAGAAAACATACTTTTACCAGTGACCGCCCCCGGTCCCCATCCCGGAAAATTAAGTTCGCCCCACAAAAATATCAAGTGTCCCCGGGAGAAAAAAGTCTGGAAAAAACACAGCAACCCATTTGTACACAAGTCCCAGTGGGTCAGAGGTGAAAATTTCTCTCATGTTAAAACATACAGAATCCTCACTGCATCAGTAGACAACTGCTAACTCAGACAGACTCTAAGACAGACAACTGCTAACTCAGACAGACTCTAAGACAGACAACTGCTAACTCAGACAGACTTTCAGACAGACAACTGCTAACTCAGACAGACAACTGCTAACTCAGACAGCTGCTAACTCAGACAGCTGCTAACTCAGACAGACACTAAGACAGACAACTGCTAACTCAGACAGACTTTCAGACAGACAACTGCTAACTCAGACTTTCAGACAGACAACTGCTAACTCAGACAGACTCTAAGACAAAAAGCTGCTAACTCAGACAACTGCTAACTCAGACAACTGCTAACTCAGACAACTGCTAACTCAGACAACTGCTAACTCAGACAGACTCTAAGACAGACAGCTGCTAACTCAGACAACTGCTAACTCAGACAACTGCTAACTCAGACAACTGCTAACTCAGACAACTGCTAACTCAGACAGACTCTAAGACAGACAGCTGCTAACTCAGACTCTCAGACAGACCGCTGCTAACTCAGACAACTGCTAACTCAGACAGACAACTGCTAACTCAGACTTCTAACTTAGACAGACAACTGCTTCCACAGAAAACCTATAAGACAGCAGCTAAGGCCGACATCTGCTAAGAATGCCAGACAACCAAGTAATCGTATTTTAAAATCTCTAATTAATTCAATGGCAATCAGATTTTTTTTTTAAAAACGTATATCAATCCATAAACCTAATGCCCTAATTTAAAAAGTAGTCTGATTTTTTTTAAATGTCAGTTTATCTAACAACCAGATTACGTCCTATTTTTCAGATGTATGTGCATTATCTTTGCTTAAATACTCATTAAAGGACCTGATGTTGAGTTAAAATACTGGGGACAGTCGGGCTTGACTTCAGTGGCGTAGGCAGGGGGGGGGGGGGTAGGGGTGAGTCAGAACCCCCCCCCACCATAGACCCCTCGGTAGATACATAAAGGTTGAGCGGGGGGTGCAAAATCGGAAGTCGGAAGGGGGTGGGGGTTGCAAATGAAAAGTTTGAAGGGGGGGGGTGCAAATCAAAAGTTTGTCCTCGGGGGCCGGGGAGGGACGCTACGCCTCTGATATACATTTATTATGCGGGAAAAAAAATTGAACCCCCCCCCCCCCTATGAGACGATCCTGACGACGCCACTGCTTGACTTGACTTAGTCCTCTTTGCTCCTTATGAACATAGGGCCTCCACCATTTCCTTCCATTTCATCCGATCCCCGGCTATTAATTTTGTCTTCTCCCCGACATCCCTGTTGGCTTCAGTTCTTCAAGAAGGCTTCGCCTCCAGGACTGTCTTCCGCTTTCCCTGGGGGTTCCACTCAAGCGCTTGGCGTGTAACATTTGGGTGAGCCTTTCGCAAAGTCAGGCTTAGTTAAGAATAAAACTTTGGCTAAGCACAACATGGAGCTAAACTACTTAAAAACCCCCCAAAAATGTGCTAGCTATAATACACCAGGAGTTTTTTTAAAAAAATGGGAGACTGCATCAACCGGCTGTGTCTGTCAGCCCCCCCCCCCCCCCCTCTTTTTGATGTAATAATAAACCTGGCATAGAAGCCCCGTGCCGCCCCCACCCCTCTGTATTTGATGAGGCGTGTGAGAGGCTGAAAACGGCAATCTATAAGCTTTCTGCTGGTGATATGATTTTTCTGAAAAAATTATTGGTTTAATTTACTAATTTATTTTAATTCAAAATGTAACGTGTTATATAGAGCACTGTGGGGTTTAAAAAAAAATTGACAACACGTTTTTAGATTGATACTGTAAAGTTTGAAGATAACACAAAGCTGATTGTGAAACATTTGATGGATTGGACCGTTGAAGCGAGGCGCTGTTTTTTTTAAATTAAGTTTTGAGTTACATCAAAGTTAAACTGTGGTAGGTTAAGTTTAACTTTACACTGCAAAGTTAACCGTTGTAGCCAAAGTAAACCGTTGTAGCCAAAGTTAACCGTTGTAGCCAAATTAAGATTTATAACCAATTTAAGACTTGAAGCAAAGTTTAGCTATGTAGCAACGTTTAGCCATGTAGCAACGTTTAGCTATGTAGCAAGGTTTAGCTATGTAGCAAAGTTTAGCTCTGTAGCAACGTTTAGCTATGTAGCAAGGTTTAGCTATGTAGCAAAGTTTAGCTCTGTAGCAACGTTTAGCTCTGTAGCAACGTTTAGCTATGTAGCTAAGTTTAGCTCTGTAGCAACGTTTAGCTCTGTAGCAACGTTTAGCTCTGTAGCAACGTTTAGCTATGTAGCAACGTTTAGCTATGTAGCAACGTTGAGCTCTGTAGCAACGTTTATCTATGTAGCAAGGTTTAGCTATGTAGCAACGTTGAGCTCTGTAGCAACGTTTATCTATGTAGCAAGGTTTAGCTATGTAGCTAAGTTTAGCTCTGTAGCAACGTTTAATTATGTAGCAACGTTTAGCTATGTAGAAAAGTTTAGCTATGTAGCAACGTTTAGCTATGTAGCATGTTCAGCGTACACTTATGTGAACAGGAAGGATAATGTCTCGCCGCTTAACACGCGCGAGGGCGCGTGGGGAGGGGAGGGGGAGGTGTGTGGGAGGGGAGGGCTGGACCAGTGAACGGCCTGGCTGTAACGGAGAGTCTGTTTACAAGTAACAGCAGCAGCCAGTGGCCGGGGATAACATGTAAGTAGTAGATCTATCACAGCATGAATCAGCCCGTGACACAACGGGTTTTCTTTACTAGTAATGCCTTATTCACATCCTGTTTCGTCTTCTTTCCTCGTTCATGTTTTTGTTTTCCTGCGTACTCTACCAACCCTGTCCTGTTGATATACAGCCTATCTGCTATCTAGTAGATCTGAAGAGAAGTGGCTATTTTTAGACCACGCTTTCTTTGACTCGATTTACTTCCCTTTTCCAGCGGAGTTTCTTGTTTCCCCGTTCAAGATAGTTATTGATCAACATTTTCACAAGTTGTTGCATAACTTCTGACGACGCTTGAGAAATATTGGTTTAAAAAAATTCATTTTGTATGTGGAGGTCTTGACTTGGGTAAGTTGAGTAACTTATTGTTTTTTAAAAATTCTGTTCTTGGTCTTTTGTTACGGATAAATGCAGCAAGCTTTTGTAATACATAATACATGTAGCTGACCCCTCATTAATAATCCTTAATACTTAACGTTAAATAAATATTTTATATATATATATATATATATATATATATATATATATATATATATATATATATATATATATATATAAAGAGAGAGAGAGAGAGAGAGAGAAAATCTTAAAGAATCAAACCTTTGTGTTACGTTAACAAAGATGGTTATGTTAGCAAAGTGTTTTCTTATAGAAGAAATGCCTGCTTTTTTATGTGCGGTTTCGGGCTACAGGACATTACCCCCCTGGAAATTACCCCCCGGACATTTCCCCCCCGTATTTACCCCCCGGAGCAATTACCCCCCTGTCAATTACCCCCCTGTCAATTACCCCCCCGGGGAATTACCCCCCCCCCCCCTCTCAAGTTAGAATCCTAACTCTAACTAGAATTCTATACCTATATACTACTTTAATCCAAACCTTAAGAAAAAGACCAAAACCTAAACATCCACCTTAGCCTAAAACTTTACACAAAACCAAAACCAACGCTAGTCATTGGTTTAAACTTAACCCTAACCCTAGCTCTAACCCTCTCTAACTCTAGCCCTAACCCTAACCCTAACCCTAACCCTAGCCCTAGCCCTAACCCTAACCCTAACCCTAACCCTAACCCTAGCCCTAGCCCTAACCCTAGCCCTAACTCTAACTCTAACTCTAACCCTAACCCTAACCCTAGCCCTAACCCTAGCCCTAACCCTAACCCTTACCCTAACCCTAGCCCTAGCCCTAACCCTAACCCTAACCCTAACCCTAGCCCTAACTCTAACCCTAACCCTAACCCTAACCCTAACCCTAACCCTAGCCCTAGTCCTAGTCCTAAACCTAACCCTAACCCTAGCCCCAAAACCTAGCTCTAACCCTATCCCTATCCCTATCCCTAACTCTAACCCTAACCCTAACCCTAACTCTAACCCTGTCCGGAGGGGGGGGGGGGGGGTAATGTCCTACTGGGCGGGGGGTAATTGACTGGGGGGTAATTGACAGGGGGGTAATTACTCCGGGGGGTAATGTCGGGGGGGAAATGTCCGGGGGGTAATTGACAGGGGGGAAATGCCCTGTTCCCGCGGTTTCGTGGTTGTTCCGTGAATGTATTATTTTTATCACCTTGCTTGACTCGTATTTTTGTAATCTGTATGGTGTTGTTGCCGGCCTTAGCATGAGTGCCGATACCCAGTTAAAGATTCCTCTTTAGAACTAGCGATCCATTGGGCAGGTGCAGAGGCGTAGCGACCCTTCCCGGCACCCGGGGACAAACTTTCGATTTGCACCCCCCCCTCGAACTTTTCATTTGCACCGCCCCCCCTCAAACTTTTGGCGCCTCCCATAAGGTCGGCCCCCGCCCCCCCCCCTCGCTATGCCTCTGGGCAGGTGAAGTAGAGCTCATCTGCTCCTTGAAGGGATGGTGTTGTCAGCACTATACCCCGCCGCCTTTTCACAAAATAAGGCAAGTACCCATCAATGGTGGGTAGACTCAGGAACGTCCTATAGTCACGTCTGAACTCGAGACCTTCGGACCAGCAGCCAAACGCTCTACCACTCGACCACGCCGTCCCTGTCAATACTCAGTGCCTATAGTGAAATGTTTTGATGATCGTCCAGTTATAAACCCAGCCCATGATCAAAACATTAAATTAAATATTTGTCCCACACGTATCATCAATTAACTAAAATTAGCCGTCATGGTTATCCCAACCGTGACTTAATTGTTTAAGTCCAACCATTGACTCAAGCGACAGTAGTCCAACGTCTTTAATAAGTGTCACCTTCAACTGACCTTTGTATGACCTTCGTATGACCTTATGAGTAGCACCACGTGACTGGCCTCCCTTGAACAATACTACATCAGTTGTCTATACCAGAAGACAAGAGCAACTCGATTATCCTACACGAGTGAACAATGGGCTATTGCCCTTTCTCGTAAACGGTCGAGACTTGTAACAGCAGCGCCCCTACCTCTGCCCACCAGCAGCGCTTACTTTTTTTGTTTGTTTTCACTGTTCGGTGATTGAACCAGAGCTCTGGACTTAACCACAAGGACAGACATATCTTGTAGTTTCACCAAGGTACATAGTGGAACATAACGTTTTTTTGAAAATAGTTTCTCTACACACAATGTTATCACACGTTGTGACAAAAATCTAGACATCCCCCCCTCTCGAAACAAAATGACGTCACCAAGTTCACCGTCCCCTCTCTCAACACTGTTTTAGTACAGTTAATGTTTCCGATTATTGTTTTTATTTAGTCACATTTCTGGCCTACCCCCCCCCCCCCTCCCGTACCTACCTAGGCGAATGTGTATATAGACCAATAAACTCAACACTCCTGTTACATAACAGAAACACAAATCTATAGACTCTAAGACTGCTGTGTTTAGGTCGTAATACTATAAAACCAGTTAATGTAACACATTGTTAAAATACTGAAAGGTTTTCTATAACGGTGAGTAACGACCAGAAGATTTTAATATCTCGGGATTATTTAATTCCTGTTCCGTCTAATTGAAAGTTTCCGGGTTTAAAAAAAAAAAACTATGGCCAGGATTTAATGACGCAAAAGAAGAATAACCCACTCCAAACTGGCAGACCAAATGCGCAGATTCGGTAACACACTGGTTGTTGAAACACTAATGACCTTAATCCCCTCCCTGCCCGTAGCCTCGGATGGTAGTCAGATGAGTTTAACGACTTAAGATAAAATGTAATGTTCAAAATGTGTTCTATTTGAACTTCATACCTCACTTTTGCAAATATTAACCCTGCATACACATTTTTACATAATCGTACACACACACTTACACAGGCGCACACACACAGTTGCACAGGCGCACACACACACTCACTTACACACACACACACTTACACATGCGCACACACACACTTACACAGGTGCACACACACAGTTACACAGACGCAGACACACACACTCACACACACACACACTTACGCAGACGCACACACACAGTTACACAGGAGCACACACATACACTCACACACATACACTCACTTACACACACACACACACTTACACAGACGCACACACACTCACTTACACAGGCGCACACACAGTTACACAGACGCACACACACACTCACTTACACACACACACTTACACAGACGCACATACACAGTTACACAGGCGCACACACACACTTACACAGGCCATAAGAACCCGGAAGAAAATTTTAAACATTTGATTCATACGATTAAGCACTACAGCAATCAGATGTGCGCTTGTCTGTCTGTATGTGCTTGTGTGTATGTGTATGTGTTTATTCATGTGTGTGTCAGCATATGCGTGTGTGAGAGAGCAGTTTGTGTCTTTGTATTGGTGTGATTATGCGTGTGAGTGTGTCATTACTTTCGTGTATGTCTATGTTTGTATGTAGATCTATGTCTGAGTGTGTGAATGTGCGTAGTTGCGATTAGAATAAACAAAAACTATAAATAAAATGTAAATTATCTGATAACATTTTAAACAGTTTTATCTCGTAAAACTTTTCTAACAGGAAAGCTGGACTTAGTTTTTGCTTGTGTTTCAATCTCTTTATCAAAAGTAGGAACATTTATTTTACATAACAATCCCTACCCTCCCAACCCCCCCCCCCCCTTTTACTCTACAGCCCACTACCACACTTGTTCCTTACACTTGCTACTCAGCCCACCCCACCTCTCTATCTCCTCTCTACACCTCTAGCTGTCATGGAAGCCGTGTAACGCAGTAATGAGTACCGTGCAGTACAGTCACTAATGGATAATATCTTAATTTCGTAAACAGATTCTGTGTAGTAGAAACTTGTCATGAGGGGTTAAGTTTAATGGGTTGTGGGGGGGGGGGTACTGTTTTATGGGTTATGTCTATTTCGATACAAGACTATAAAGAAACATCTAGAAACTGAAATACAAAAAATGAATAAAATACTGTCCATGACATTTCGTAAATGTCAGGAGAAATTTGGTTGAAGAGGTGACCTTGTGACCCTGACTCAGTAATTACTTCCGGCTAGAGTATAATTTCTATTTGTAGAATCGTGTACCTAAAAATAGCATCAAGTTGGTTACCCACTTTTTACTGAGTAATAAACACAAACAGCATCTTTTGCAACAGTTAAATGTGTAGTCCTTTTTTAGGAAAGTTTCGTTTGCCGAAAAAACCCAGCAAGTAATTTCAAACCTCGTGAATTAGTGAATGTCCTGTTTTTTGAAGCAGCGTGAACTAGCTATGTCCGGCTAGATGAGACAGTGAAGTGGTCGCGTTAAAATCCCTCTCTACGCCAGGCTCCTATATAAGTGCTGATCCAAATCTCATTGTTAACTTGTTGGGCTGACACATTGTTTTGTTTACGGTCAGACAGATTCAACCGATTCATGTGAAGATTTAGCTGTAACAGTAGACAGTGTAGACACAAGAACAGTCTACAAGATTTGATTGTAGCCCAGAGCTGTGTACAGAAGTCAAGAGTCGAGACCTTACAGGGCTGACAGTTCCATTCACAAGATGCCTGCCATTAACCCAACTGACAAACAAGGTAATTTATCTCCGCTGTTGTTGTTGTTGTTGTTGTTTTTTTTTTTTTTTTTTTTTTTTTTTTTTTTTTTTTTTTGGTGTAAATTACTTCCCCTTTCCATTGTAGGTTAAGTCCCTTCGTGTGTCTTGTTTAGTATCATTATTTCTTATTTTATGTTATTTCATTTTAATTCTTATTGTAAAGAGAAAAACAAATTACGTCAGTCAACAGAGTTTTCCACCATAATACATCTTATTTGATATACTAGATTAGGTTACTCTTTATTAATAAACAATGTTTTACTATATTTTAGTTTCGTTAAGTCTGAAATGTGAAAAATAAGTTAGTATTATTTAAAAAACTAACTCATTAACCCAGCTTGTCTTTGCTGTAATCCTTGTACCATTCTGTGATGACGACCCCAAAGCGAACCGTCTCCTAAGTCTCGGACTCGCCGGAGTTGTCGTTTCCTAGTCCACCGAGAGTTATCTGACTTGAGTGTTTGTTTACCATCGTCTTAACACTTGCCAGTGAAGTGCGGTCACTCCACACTAATTGTTGACATACTGCACAGCTTAAACCCCCACACACATAACGAGAGCTGAGTTCAAATACATGTACATGTCTTTTTATTGCTAGCTTTGTAGGGCTTTGTGTATGGTTGTTAGTATGGGGAAGGGGGATGCTTGCTCCTTAAACATTGCCATCTGACGCGAGGGTAATTAGTCTGTAATTAGTCTGTTTAACAGGTGTGTGTAAAATGTAAATAAAAGAAGGATTTTTTATTCAAGGAATCGTTTTCTGATGTAATACATGTAATTCGAAAGCAATATGGCTCCTTTAGTACATCTGTAATTTAGAATTTGGTATATTGTCATAACAACTGTAGCTTTAAATGTAGTTGTAGTGGTTGCTATAAATGTAGTTGTAGTCGTAGCTATAAATGTAGTTGTATTGGTAGCTATAAATCTAGTTGTAGTCGTAGCTATAAATGTAGTTGTAGAGGTTGCTATAAATGTAGTTATAGTGGTAGCTATAAATGTAGTTGTAGTGGTAGCTATAAATGTAGTTGTAGTGGTAGCTATAAATGTAGTTGTAGTGGTAGCTATAAATGTAGCTGTAGTGGTAGCTATAAATGTAGTTGTAGTGGTAGCTATAAATGTAGCTGTAGTGGTAGCTATAAATGTAGTTGTAGTGGTAGCTATAAATGTAGCTGTAGTGGTAGCTATAAATGTAGTTGTAGTGGTAGCTATAAATGTAGCTGTAGTGGTAGCTATACACGTAGTTGTAGTGGTAGCTATAAATGTAGTTGTAGTGGTAGCTATACATGCCGTTGTAGTGGTAGCTATAAATGTAGTTTGCTGCAGCAATAACCGTTATTGTGATTCCTGTGTCACGATGACACAGCTAAAATAAACTCTCGACAAGCCAGATGTCCAGACAAGTGTGTGTGTGTGGGGGGGGGGGGGGGGGGGTAGGGGGGGGGGGGCGCAGACATTGTTATGTTGGAGAAGTGGGGGAAGGAGGCAGCCATCCAAATGTTGGGGGGAGGGGAAGGAAGCCAGAAATCTAGATATTAAAAGAAGGGTTAGACACACAACGTTGAGAAACTGACACAGAAACGTCACAAACAATTATAGATACCATCTGACTCCATTGTTCCATGCAGAGCTCCCTCCCCTGCCTCCCCCTCCCCCTGCCTCCCCTCAACCAATTCCACATTCCATGCTCACTCAACATGCACTGCCATCCACGTAGAGTTGATCGTGCGAACCATTTTTTTATGGACGGCCTCCTCACGTTTTACAATGGTTTTCGAATGAGCTAACACGATACACTGTTTACTACAAATACATGTGGCTTTTGCTAGTAAGTATACATGACTTCAGTAGGAATGAAAAATAAGTCAGAAACGTAAGACTGGAAAATCCCAGTTAAATTTATCAGTTCTTGATGAAATAAAAGATAAAAAATAGCATTTTTCGTACCACGGTAGCTGATAGCTACTATAGTGTATGGCTAGAAATAAACTAGATAACTTAGTCATGAACTATCCATACAGCGGGGCTTGAACAAAAATAGATCTCTCGCTCTCTCTCTTTCTCTCTCTCTCTCTCTCTCTCTCTCTCTCCCATTCAAACAAGCTGCCAGTGATTTACCAACCCCTAATCAGACCCATCCAGAAAACCCACCCCTCCTTCTGTCACACCCCCCCCCCTCCACCCAGCTGTTCTACTAGCTAATAAAGTCACGTGACAGATTTCTTGTGAATCAACCGTTTCTTGTGAGTTGAGATTTCAACAGGTATCTCCGCCTTACCTGTACCAGCAGACTGACTTGCAGGTGACCTAGTGCCAGAGTTGGCTATTTTTAAACAGAACCGTTCGTCTGTTTCTGGTTCCTGAATAAGCACCACCACGCTGCCTGTCGTGTGTATTTTTAGAGAGTGGCTACAGCATGAATGAAGTAGTAACAAAATGTCTATTAAGTGACGTAATTCACACAGCTTGTCTTTAAGGGGCACCATGTGTAGGATGGTCTTTCTTTCTTATCATCGATTATTTTCTGTTCTTTGAATAACCATGCCCTTCTACCCCCCCCACCCCCTCCCCCAGTTATCTTGTATTGTTTAAAGGCATAGTGCTTTAGGATATATCAACAAAACACAGTGAAACAAACACGTCAACCTACTGTTAATTAACACGTCACACTTAGAGTTAATTAACTAGCATGACAACACTGAACTGGTTGATTGCTGTTGTTAATGTCTGCGTGTGTAAATTGGAGGGAGGGAGGGGGTTGGTCAAATTACCAGTAAACAATACATCACGTGACCAGATCACACTCAGCATCCAGTGAATAGAAATCGAAAGTAGAAAAAATATTTCTGTAACATACCACAGTGCTGCTAACATTTATCAAAAGGACATCACAACTAAAAACAAACAAAAGCACCATCAGTCTGACATCAGATTAGACAATTTTACTCGTGATTCTAGTTGAAAGTTATTTTTTCTTTATTTCTTGTTTACATTTTAAATCTTTGTTAAAACTTTCAAGAAATAAACTTCCCTGTTTACAGTACGAAATGTTGATGTGTGACTAACATGTGGCGATAAATTTTAAGCCGGACTCTTGGGAAACATCCTATTTGTAGCCATAGTTGTTTATTTTTATTTGTAGCCATAGTTGTACAACAGCTGTTGTTGTTAAGTTGTAATTTGTTTTTAATAGGGCTACTTGGCTGTTTGTTGTTTTTCTTTTCTGTAGAAATAGTTGTTTTGTTAAATTGTAAGTATATCTGTAGGTACTCTTGTGTTTTATCTATAGAAATAGTTGTTGCTTATATTGTTATACTAGATGTGTCAAATACTATCTGACATGACAAGGACAAAATTATATGAAAGAGAATATAGCCAGACTCAGATAGAGAAAGATATGACAGAAAAATAAGATCAAGAGAGAGAGAGAGAGAGAGAGAGAGAGAAAGGGAGAGAGGTACGGAGAGTAAAGCAGCAGCCCATGTTATCAGTCCCCTCATTAGCTCATTATAATCATGATAATTAAAATGTCAACCATGTGACCTTCTTCATTAAATCTGGAACTTCAAACCCGTATGGATTATTTATTACCCCTAAATAGACCTTAACCTTTTGACCTTAATACGTGCGTTACACATTGATTTATAGATCTTGCCAGCTGGTTCGAACTGTTTCGTTCTGTACTCTATCCCCACCACCTCCCCCATCACAACCTTCACATTCCACCACCCGTACCCAGAGTTTTTTCCAGGCATTTTTACCGCCCCCACCCCCCCCCCCCCCCCGAACGAAATTAAATTTATATAATTTATATAGAAAATATATACTTTTAACAGTGTCCGCCCCTCCCCCCCCCCCGAAGAAAGTCTACCGCCCCCCCCCCCCCCCGAAAATTTCAAGTGCCCCCAGGAGAAAAATGTCTGGAAGAAACACTGCCGTACCCCATCACCACCCCCCCTGTCCCCCACACTAATATAACTCGGATGATGAAATTATTCGGAGATCAGTTTCATATTTTTGCTGGCGGTTATGCCATCCTCTACCTCTGTTCCCGCCTCCTCCATAACCCTCATTACCCCCTCCCAGCTCTGTCAGCCTCCCTCGACTCTCTTTCTCCTCTCTCCCTCTCTCCCTCTCTACCTCCCAACCCTAAGACCCTCTTCTTCCCAATTACTCTCCCTAAATACAACCCAAACATCTTCCCGTGAATCGCATTTCATCGATTGAGGAGTGTAGGTCATGTACACAAATCTCCAAGAGGATATAATATTGGTTTACAGCCATCCCAGAGGTCAACATGGTGCCTGTGTGTACTCCGCCTGGCGCCTGTGTACGCCAGTCTATGTGTATACGCCAGCCTGGCGTCTATGTGTGTACTTCGCCTGGCGCCCATGTGTGTACTTCGCCTGGCGCCTATGTGTATTCGCCAGCCTGGCGTCTACGTGTGTACTTCACCTGGCGTCTACGTGTATACGCCAGCCTGGCGTCTATGTGTAAACGCAACCCTGGCGTCTACGTGTGTACTTCGCCTGGCGTCTACGTGTATACGCCAGCCTGGCGTCTACGTGTGTACTTCGCCTGGCGCCTATGTATTTCATCACAGCTTTTGTATTTATTATTAGCATTTTATGACTGATTGATTTCTTATAAATATTTTAGCTTTATGAACGTAATCAAAATACGAGTTTTGCTGACTGGTGCATTCCAATCTGATCCAAAATTATCACACTGAAGACATTATTTAGATCAGTAAAGCTCCTAAACTTATGCTACTGATACTTCTACTACTAAAAACAAAATACAAATTAATGACAATAAATTATTATATGTATACAACAAATACAACGTATAAAGCTCAAACACCAAAAGCGACCTTAGCTAAGTGTAATATCTAGACTCTAGACATACGTTTTAATTAGTTATTTTCATTATAGACCATTACCAACAAACTGGTTTTATGGGGCTGAACAAAAATAGGTATGCTACACTCCATGTCATAATACTCACGCATCAAAAAGCAGATGTCAATCTCTGTCTCATCCTCTAAAATCACGATCTAATTAAGGAGATGATCTAATCAGATAAAAGCACGACAAACATTCACGTATTTTTTCATCTGTTTCATCAAGACACCCCCCACCCCCGCCCCTCCCAGCCTCTTCCGGTACTTGAGTCGGGCTCTCTTTGAGACAAAAGTGACTTGAGAATTAAAAATGTTAGTTCAAAAAGAAACGAACTAATCTCAAAGATTGAGAATTAAAAATGTTCGTTCAAAAAGAAACGAACTAATCTCAATGATCAATTAATCTTGTGACATGATGAAACAAAAAGCGTCTACTTTGAAAAAAACCCACTAAAATATTAGCCTATCAATTGTTTTGATACGCTACACATGAAAAAAGAATATTAATATTTTAAAAATAATAATTGCCGAACAGTTACACCACATATAATTTAACACCCAAGTTATCTGATGATCTCCCTTTACAACTGATCAAATCATTAATTCGAGTAATTATATACCTATAGTATTCATATTTGAATGGAAATGCATAAAGTGTAGGCCTATATATGAAAATCTTGGGATATTTTCAGGAGGAAAGGCGTTCGGCGAGTATATGAGAAGATGGGAAGCAGAAATAGACGAAATTAATAAGGTAGCCTATTCTTAATGTATTACTACTGTCACACTTTTTTTCAGTAATTAAATAATTAATGTTATCCAAGATTTAACTTAAAACTAAATTATAATTAGTGAATAGATAAAGTTTAGATGAAGATATGTGTATAGCTACTTGACAACAAAAATTTGAGCGTTCTTTGTACGTTTTTTCTTCAGGAATTTCTCTGTGACGACTGTTACAGCGAGGATGAAGATCTCGAGTTCAAACTGAAAGAGTACAAAGGTAGGTAACCCTAGAAATACAATTTTATTAAGTTCCGCCTGGCTTACCTACCTTATTACCACTTATCAATATTAATTTTAAAATTTTATTTTGAGAATAAAATGGGATAAATTTGTAACTTGAATGTATATATATTTTAGTATGAGGTTAATTTAATCATAATTTAAAACTATCGTCTTGTTAGTTTTTTTTTTACATTTGTTTAAATAAAGACATGAAAAACGTTCTGTTTATTTTCAGTGAAGTTTATTGAATGTGATCAAGATTTATCTGGTGATCTGAGTGAGTGCTCAAGTTTCTCATGATCAATATCATAAATGTCATATGTCAACATATGTCATTTGTAAAAAAAAAGCAACACATTTCATATGTCAACATACATCATTTGTAAATCTAAGTAACACATGTCATAGGTCAACATACTTCATGTGTAAAACAAAGTAACAAATGTCATATGTCAAAATACATCCTTTGTAAATCTAATTAACACATGTAATATGTCAACATACTTCATGTGTAAAACAAAGTAACAAATGTCATATGTCAAAATACATCATTTGTAAATCTAAGTAACAAATGTCATATGTCAACAGACATCATTTGTAAATCTAAGTAACACATGTAAAACAAAGCAAGAAATGTCAAATGTCAACATACATAATGTGTAAAACAAAGCAACAAATGTCAAATGTCAATATACATCTTGTGTAAAAGAAAGCAACACATGTCAAATGTCAACATACATCATGTGTAAAACAAAGCAACACATGTCACATATCAACATACATCATTTGTAAATCTAAGTAACACATGTAAAACAAAGCACCAAATGTCCAATGTCACCAGATGTCATGGACGTGAAGTACCTGCTCCAGAAGCTGGGCCAGGCTAAGACCCACCTGGAGGTGATGAACATGATCAAGGAGGTGGACTCCACCCACAAGGACGCCATCAACTACACCGACTTCGTCAAGATGATGTTGGGCAAGAAATCAAGTGTCCTCAAATTGTAAGCCAATAGATTTATTTGGGTTCCATTTTTACATCCATCTTCAAACATCACACATTTTTTAGAGCTATTTATTTAATCTGTTCATTTATATAAGAATATTCATACACAAATTTAATGTTTTATATTATTAATTTTATTCTGTAAAATTTAGGTACCTAACCTGACATTTTGTTTAACATTTTAGTTAATATTTTTAATGTCTCATTTACATTTAAAATTTTCTTTTGTTTATATTTGTTTAAGAAAGATTATTTTTATTTCAATGTCTATCATGTGATAATAATTTGATATGAGCATTAGACAAAATATTTATCTCTTGCTAACATGTATTTAAACTTTTTTTCCCAGCATTCTCCTCTTTGAAGGACTTGGTAAAGCCAAAGAACAACCCAAAGGGATACCACCCAAGCGTGATATCTCTAGCCTCCCTTGAAGTTCTAAAAATAGCATCACTCTATACAATCTGCTTTTTAACTAGCAAGTGCTTGGCCAACTGTAAACAAAAGCCATGCAAGAAAACTCTCATGGTGCTTTATTCATAAATCCAGCATTTAGTGTATGTACAAAACACAAATGTCACAAGAACACGGTTGAAAATGTAACTTCTTACCATTTTGTTATTTGTATGTGTTATTTAATAGCTGTTGAATTACTTCATTCTTTTTATTAAACATTTATGGAGATTAGTGTAAAACCAGTTTTATTTTCTATTCAGTCCTAAAATGGCATATTAGATTGAATTTTAGCTTAGTTGCTAAGAAAATGTGTATTGCTGAACAATTTGAATATTGTATATTAAATTATGTGTTATTTGTTATTCAGCATAAAGGTATGACCCAACATTTGACATGTGTCCACTAAAGAGCTAAACTGTTCTTTAACCCTTCACTGTCCAGTATTCATGTGTGCTAATTTATAGTTTTGACCAAGAGAAAAAAACATTCTTAGAATTTAAAATCAAATGTTTCTAATTTTTTCATTCTGCATTGTTTTCTGAAAATTAAATGTTTGGGTTTTAGTGCATTGACCTCTGAACCTTGAATGTTATGATTGTACAAAAGTTAACACTAGTAGGCTATATTTGAAAGACAATCTAAAATGTTGTCCAATTTTAATTATTTTATAATAACTTAAATTAATTATTATGTTTTATTTGAGGAATATTATACAAAAGTTTATTGTTTAGCAGTAAATATATAATATAACTACTACAATTTTGTATAAAGTAAAACATGAACTTATGCAAGTTTAATACAGGTATGGTCTGTGTGTGCTGATTGTACATACAGTTTTAAACTTTAAAAATGTAAAAATGTCATTGTATGTGAAAATATATATTTTTTAAATGTATGTAAGTGCGTAAATGTTTTATTACAATTTTATTGAAATTTTATGATTGACTTTTTATTTTTCGTATTAAATATATGTTTAATGTAATATCTAAAATGTTCATTATACTTTTATTGTATTTCAGCTACATGTTTTTTTTTTATTTTAAATAGATTGAATATTAAAAAATACTTTTTGCTTATGAGTTTTTATATATATACAACGTTTTTTGAAGTTATGTTCTAATAAGTTTCAAATTGCACTCAACAGATAATATAACAATTTAAATATAACAATATTTTTTTTTCAAATTCCGCATTAAATTTTTTTTATATGGGGAGGTAACCGAGCTAAGTTTGCTTTTCCAAATATTATATCAGTAGTTTCCCTTAGCATATCAACCATTTTAATTCTGTGTTTAGAGGTCACATTTTGTAGAAATATACACTAATCTTTATTTAACAATTTACATTTTAGCTATTCAGGGTTTAGATAGATTTAGTGATTAATTTTCACATTTTTAAAAAGTGTTTAAAAATATAAAATAGCAAAATAAAAATTTCATTAAAAGATAATCCTAGTACAACCTGAGGTTACACCTTCTTCACCAACCTTCACCCTGGTTTTTTTTGCGCCAGGCACCCGCCATCCATCCCTTCACCTGTTAGTAAAAGCATTTTCGCCGGGCCACATGAGCAGGCAAAGTGCTGGACTTAGTTGTCGCATGCTTAAAATTAATAAAACAAGTCGTAGGGCGTCCCTGAGGCCACCCAACTATGATGGGTATCTAACTCATGCTAGGGAAAGTAAAGGCGGCTAGGCCAAATGCTGACCACATAATCACTTCATATGCCACAGTAAACTCTACTTCACTTGCCCATTGTTTGAAAGGGAACTTTACTTAATAAAACGACTGAACAGCTCTAATATCGGATTATGGAACATTTTGGCCGTGTGCTATTTTAGGCAGAGAGTAGGTACCGGGAAAAGGCAAGGGACTAACTCATAGTTCATTGCACTTTAAAGTCGCAAACATTTTTTTTAATATGGTGCATATAAAGCATATTGAATTAATTTTTAGTAATTAATTTGAAAAGTTCTGTTTTCCAAACAAAAAGAGTTTCAAATCTTATTTCTACAGTTAAGCAAGCACCGTTACACATATAATTTTGTGGGAATCAAAACTGATCCTGAATCTGCTGAATAATAAACAAACATACAACTCTACATACAATTTAAAAAAAAAACATTTTGTTTTTATAAAATATTTATTGAATCTAGATCTATATAAGAATAATTATATGTTTGTGTTGTTTAATAAAAACAACGTACCATGTAATGTATATCAATGCATGTGTTCTAGGTTTAAATTATATAAATCAATAATGAGTAACTCTATACAAAACATGATAGCACAGCTTATAAATAAAACGTCAGCTCATCAAAGTCCACATTCACCAGTAGTTCTATTCACTCATACAGGTACGCCTAACCCCATAACAGTTCACTATAATTCAACGTAGCTGCCGTCCACACGATCAGTCTCTGCTGCGAGAAAGGGCAGTGCGCATGCGCCAATCAACTCGACGCTTTTGTTGGGCGGGAAGCTTGCGACACGGAGGACGTATCGGACACGTACGACGCCGAGTCGCTTGGCTCCTCATCGACTCTGGAAATTTTCGATATAGTCGACGCTCCGGAAGGCGCGGACACGGCAGTGTTGCCACTGTTGCCACTGTTGCCAGACCCCGATTTAGATTTCTTATCGTCTCCAACTACAGTAGGATATATATATATATATATATATATATATATATATATATATATATATATATATATATATATATATATATATATATATATATATACGTGTATACGTCATATGAAGCTATCGCCTAATGAAAATGTTATAATACAAATATGCAATTAGTTTACTTATCTAAGACCTCATTAACACATTGTTCATTCAAATGTTATGGCACGAGCTAATGTTAAAAAAACCTCGTAGATGTTATTAAAATGACGATTAATGAAAACACTCCTGTTGACACGTGAAATCCTGCAGCTCACCTGGTCCTAAAATTGAGGGGACACGACTCACCTACAGAACCTTCACACCTGAGTAGACACGACTCACCTACAGAACCTTCACACCTGCACCCGAGGAGACACGACTCACCTACAGAACCTTCACACCTGAGGAGACACGACTCACCTACAGAACCTTCACACCTGAGGAGACACGACTCACCTACAGAACCTTCACACCTGCACCTGAGGAGACACGACTCACCTACAGAACCTTCACACCTGAGGAGACACGACTCACCTACAGAACCTTCACACCTGAGGAGACACGACTCACCTACAGAACCTTCACACCTGAGGAGACACGACTTACCTACAGAACCTTCACACCTGAGAAGACACGACTCACCTACAGAACCTTCACACCTGAGGAGACACGACTCACCTACAGAACCTTCCCACCTGATGAGACACGACTCACCTACAGAACCTTCACACCTGAGGAGACACGACTCACCTACAGAACCTTCACACCTGAGGGGACACGACTCACCTACAGAACCTTCACACCTGAGGAGACACGACTCACCTACAGAACCTTCACACCTGAGGGGACACGACTCACCTACAGAACCTTCACACCTGAGGGGACACGACTCACCTACAGAACCTTCACACCTGAGGAGACACGACTCACCTACAGAACCTTCACACCTGAGGAGACACGACTCACCTACAGAACCTTCACACCTTACGGGACACGACTCACCTACAGAACCTTCACACCTGCACCTGAGGAGACACGACTCACCTACAGAACCTTCACACCTGAGGAGACACGACTCACCTACAGAACCTTCACACCTGAGGAGACACGACTCACCTACAGAACCTTCACACCTGAGGAGACACGACTCACCTACAGAACCTTCACACCTGAGGAGACACGACTCACCTACAGAACCTTCACACCTGAGGAGACACGACTCACCTACAGAACCTTCACACCTGAGGAGACACGACTCACCTACAGAACCTTCACACCTGAGGAGACACGACTCACCTACAGAACCTTCACACCTGAGGAGACACGACTCACCTACAGAACCTTCACACCTGAGGAGACACGACTCACCTACAGAACCTTCACACCTGAGGAGACACGACTCACCTACAGAACCTTCACACCTGAGGGGACACGACTCACCTACAGAACCTTCACACCTGAGGAGACACGACTCACCTACAGAACCTTCACACCTGAGGAGACACGACTCACCTACAGAACCTTCACACCTGAGGAGACACGACTCACCTACAGAACCTTCACACCTGAGGAGACCTCACCTACAGAACCTTCACACCTGAGGAGACACGACTCACCTACAGAACCTTCACACCTGAGGAGACACGACTCACCTACAGAACCTTCACACCTGAGGAGACACGACTCACCTACAGAACCTTCACACCTTAGGAGACACGACTCACCTACAGAACCTTCACACCTGAGGAGACACGACTCACCTACAGAACCTTCACACCTGAGGGGACACGACTCACCTACAGAACCTTCACACCTGAGGAGACACGACTCACCTACAGAACCTTCACACCTGAGGAGACACGACTCACCTACAGAACCTTCACACCTGAGGAGACACGACTCACCTACAGAACCTTCACACCTGAGGAGACCTCACCTACAGAACCTTCACACCTGAGGAGACACGACTCACCTACAGAACCTTCACACATGAGGAGACACGACTCACCTACAGAACCTTCACACCTGAGGAGACCTCACCTACAGAACCTTCACACCTGAGAAGACACGACTCACCTACAGAACCTTCACACCTGAGGAGACACGACTCACCTACAGAACCTTCACACCTGAGGAGACACGACTCACCTACAGAACCTTCACACCTGAGGAGACACGACTCACCTACAGAACCTTCACACCTGAGGGGACACGACTCACCTACAGAACCTTCACACCTGAGGAGACACGACTCACCTACAGAACCTTCACACCTGAGGAGACACGACTCACCTACAGAACCTTCACACCTGAGGAGACACGACTCACCTACAGAACCTTCACACCTGAGGAGACCTCACCTACAGAACCTTCACACCTGAGGAGACACGACTCACCTACAGAACCTTCACACATGAGGAGACACGACTCACCTACAGAACCTTCACACCTGAGGAGACCTCACCTACAGAACCTTCACACCTGAGAAGACACGACTCACCTACAGAACCTTCACACCTGAGGAGACACGACTCACCTACAGAACCTTCACACCTGAGGAGACACGACTCACCTACAGAACCTTCACACCTGAGGAGACACGACTCACCTACAGAACCTTCCGTTTTTTGGGCCTCGTCCATAGCCTCTAGGTTGGGGATAGTCCCGGCGTTGCTCTGTTCCGGCGTGGGCTCCTTGCTGACGCGCCGCTCCTGCGGGGGCGGGGGTTTGGGCTTGCGGAAGGTGCAGAAGATGCCGACGCTGGCCAGGATGATGAGGCAGGAGTAGAGCGCTATTTCCACGCCAAATGTGGAGCTCTCTTCGTCCGGCTCCCCTTCGGGCTCGTCTTGGGGCTCCAGATCGTCGTTGTGTAATCTTCTGTTAACATGGTTGTGTTCTGTAGGGTAACAGAAAATGGCGTCTTTAGGATCGTTTTTCACTGCTAAGATCTGTCAATAAGCTGTATTTAAATCGCATATTCCCATCTCGGTTATATAAAAAAGCCGCTGCAGATTTTCCCCATAAAGTATTTTTTTTTTCAAAAAGTCCGCCTATTATAGCTTTCTTTCAATAAAGTTTTCTGTGTAGACATACTTAAAGATAAAACATTGTGTATCAAGTATCATTAAAAACTTAAATTATAATTCCCCCGAAAAAAATGTTCATCTTATCATAAACTCAGTTCAGTATGGGATGTTGCCATCAAAATATACGGAGAGTAATCGAATTCTTCAACCTTGAATCTATTACTACAGTAAGTGCATTATGCATACTTTACTTTACGGTGTTTTATACCAAAATACAAAAAGGTTTGACTGATACCAGAGTTACAAATATCAATTATTTTTCGAGATGTTCATGATTCCACATTGATTACAGTTTTAAAAACCATTCGTTAACATTAATACAAAAGATGTTGTTCTTACCTGGGTTGTGTTTTTTTATAATAAATTTCCATACTAGATCTAGATTTATACTCTATACTTAACTATACGTGTACGTTTTATTTTATTTATCCAACATTTATTTATCAAATGGGATTGCGTAGGGAATTTTTTTCCTTTTATCTACCATTTAGTAGCCTCCCTACCATGTAGGCTAGTTTACTTCAAAATTTACTTCAAATTTGAATAAAAAACATTGTCTATTTTTCATGTTTAGCAATACTAAGTTGCTTATATTCTAAACTTATATAATTACTATTTATATTATATTATATTCTAGGTGCCGAGATTATCTCGGTCTGTTATTCTAGTCACCTGCTAGAGCGGTTGAGGTGTGCACCAAGCAGATCACGATCGATAAAACAATCATACTTAGAAGAACAAGAAATACATCACAATTTTCTCCATTTAAAAATAGTGCGTTTTCTTCTACTTCCGATTTCGAGCGCTAGTCTAAGATTTCTTTAAAAGTGCAGAACAGTGCAAAAATAATCACGGGTTTTAAGAACATGATTTACGCTTCAAATCAATTAAGCTTTTATGGCATTTATAATAGAAAATATTAAGGGTGATTTATGTCAATATGCTGATAAAATTGATCTAAGTAAAATATTTAAACACAACACGATTTATAACTACAATATAGTTTTCTTCTAGAAAAAAAAACCCACCGCCTATAGTTGTTAGTATGTCACTAGTTGAATGGTTCGAGGCTAAGAGTGCTGATCTTAGAATCAATGGTGCCTGACCAGACTAGTTCTTTAAACGCCCAGGTCATAGAACCAGACTAGTCGTACAGGGTACGATAGTTGCTCATGCCTGATACATTTGTGTAGTCTCTAGTTTAGAAGATTTGAAATGAAACAATTTCGCTGACACTGAATTAGGCTGGTACGTGATCCTTCTTATGTGAGTAATAAAGGTGAAACAAAAAAAACACAAACTAACCAACAACAAGCGACATTTTGTCTTCGTCCCCTCTCCCCTCCTCCTCTTTTAGGATCTCCTAGCAAGTTCTAGAACTCCATCCAAGCAGTATAACTTAGGTTCTGACAATTGGTTTGTTGTTAAAATCTATAACGTGTAGGATAATAGACACAAATATATAATTGACTCACATTTATTTTGCTTGTAATTAGCAGTAGAGAAATAGCGTCACATGGGGTGGAATCCTTTATTGACGGCTCTAAATAGGCGAGCTGCCCACGCAAGCAGGAAAAAAGTTTTGTTACATAAATTTAAACCATGTGTTCACTGGTCAACTCAACACGACATGTGTTATGTAAACAATCGGCATGGGTAATGCACACGGTAAAAATATGTTAGGTAACGATTAGATCATTGATTTTATGAACATACTATTGTATCTATATTAATTGTTGCATAGAGGCTATTTTTAAATATTGCATACGGCGGGAACAGATAAGTGCCATTTATGAGAATTGAAGATGACGTAGCGTATTATATCAACAAAATACTTATGTAGCTATTGTTTCAAGACTCATTGTCATACTTTCAAAAATAAAATGTCGACGTAAAACAACGGCGTATACTTTATAACAGGACATCCATGGTGCAGATAAAGTAACTTTTACAAGTTTATCTTGCTTATGAGGGTATAATCAGAATATGAAGGTACTATCCGAAATAAGAAAATATTATCCAACATATGAAGGTATTATCAGGTATATGCAGATATTATCCTTCAAACGAAGGTATTATCCGGCATATGAAGGTATTATCCGGCATTTGAAGTATTATCCAAATATAATGAGTCTTTACATTTTTTTCATTTCATCATTTTTTCTATCAATAATGTAAGGTACTTTTACATAAAACAATAGTCGATGGCGCTCGTCTTGTATTTGAATGTGTAGCTAATACATCGTCTTCTATTGAGGATTTCATATAAAGGAAAAATTATCAGTTTTCTATCATAGTTCTTTTTACTTTCTCGTATGTACGAAGTATAGAGAAAGTATTGTAATCGTGGAAAAAATCGAGATTTTCAAGAATCTCGACGTTTTACACCTCACTGATACGGAAAAACATAATTTTGCAATCTTGTCCGTATGTCTGTGTGTCTGTCTGTCTGTGTGTGTCTGTCTGTGTGTGTGTCTGTCTGTGTGTGTCTGTCTGTGTGTGTGTGTGTCTGTCTGTGTGTAAACCCGATAACTTGAGTAACGTTACAGCTAAGTTGATAAAATTTCATATATAAGTATTTTATCAAAATCGTAGATTCGTATCAACTTTTGAGCGATTTCCGATAACCGGAAGTGGTACTTTTTCTACTTTGAATTTTAAAAAGCCTATAACTTGAGTACTATTTCAGATAGGTAAATGAAATTTCACATGTAAGTAAAAGATCTAATTCTCTACCTTCTGTCAAAGTTTGAGTAATTTCCGTTGACCGGAAGTACTAATTTTTGCTATTTCCGATTTTTCAAAAACGCATGTAAATTTAAAAAGTACTAATAATATTGCGCACTATTATGCACATTTTGTTTTGGCGTTCGGTTGGTGCGCAATTCTTTTTTTCTACGAGATTCTATTTACAAAAGTTTAAGTAATTAAAAATCAAGTCTATATTCCGAGTTATATAAGAATATTCGAGAAAGTTTAGGGGAGATCACTCCCGGTTTATTTACTGATTGGGATGGGTAAGCCGATTGAGATATGTGGTGATTAATGTGTTATTTTATTATATGTGCTACGGTGATTCTCTATGTTTGATAATACAAGAGACTCAGGTGTGAAGTTGACCAGCTGTAGCATTATACGGTCATTCTCTATGTTCGATAAGACAAGAGACTCAGGTGTAAAGTTGACCAGCTGTAGCATTATACGGTCATTCTCTATGTTCGATAAGACAAGAGACTCAGGTGTAAAGTTGACCAGCTGTAGCATTATACGGTGATTCTCTATGTTCGATAAGACAAGAGACTCAGGTGTAAAGTTGACCAGCTGTAGCATTATACGGTCATTCTCTATGTTCGATAAGACAAGAGACTCCGGTGTAAAGTTGACCAGCTGTAGCATTATACGGTCATTCTCTATGTTCGATAAGACAAGAGAATCAGGTGTAAAGTTGACCAGCTGTAGCAATATACGGTGATTCTCTATGTTCGATAAGACAAGAGACTCAGGTGTAAAGTTGACCAGCTGTAGCATTATACGGTCATTCTCTATGTTCGATAAGACAAGAGACTCAGGTGTAAAGTTGACCAGCTGTAGCATTATACGGTGATTCTCTATGTTAGATAAGACAAGAGACTCAGGGGTGAAGGTGACCGACAGTAGGCACTGCGTTTACATACATTTTAGTTTCAAATCTTCTCTTGGTTTGTCTATCATTGTATGTCAACATCTTTGCAGCAGCCGAAATTGTTTTCAAACATCTTTTTGTTGTTTAGTACTCAATATGTTAAAAGTATTCAAAATGCTTCAACTCTAATATTATAGAATATAGAAAAAAAATGAGAATATCACCTTAAACAGAACAGTATAAAGTTGAATACACTAAAATACCATAAAGTGAGAAAATACACCAGTCATAGTAGATTTAAATACACACATATAGTGAACATTAATGAAAGAAAACTTGTATAGTTTTAATAATTAATACACCAATACAGAATCAAATTTAATGCATTAATACATAAGATGTTTAATACACCAATATACCATGAAATTAAATGCATTAACACATAAGATGTTTAAAAACACTGGATCGAAGTTGAGTACAGAAAATCATTGTAAAAGTGAATTTGCCAATACAACGAAAGCTAAAAAATATATTTACAATCTTTCAGATTCAAATGCTTTTTATTATCGTTGTACAAAAATGTCCATACTTTCCGGTAAAGTAGTTTAATTTTGTAAACAAATTATGTTAGTTATTAACCGTTTTTTTTGTTAAATTTTAGCTTTTTTTATACCTGGTCTTTGAGTTAAAGTTAATTATGAATAGCTTTTTTTTTCAAATAAATAGTTATTAAACATTTAGTATCAATATTATATTTCCAAAGCAAAACATTATAATACTTTAAGTTTTAAACGCTATGCACAACCCTCACATTTATTTTAATACCAGCTGAAATACAGGCGTTAATCTGATCTAACAAAAATAAACGGATCAACTGCTTAACAACTCATCTGATCATACTCAAAACCTCAACAATGATGATTTATATAATACCACTATTACGAACGCTATTCTGTCAGTCGCAGAGCTAGCGAACGCCCCGGGTTCGTTTTGAGATGGCTAATGACAGATGTCAACTTTAATGGAGTGTCAGACACAATAAAAACAACTCAACGTGGGCTCGTGAGTAAAATCTAGGGGAATAACACGCTGAACTAATGTGACTCACAACAACTTTAATCTGTCAACAACCGTTTAATATGAGTACAGGAATGAAAAGTGACACTAGGTATGTACAAAATAATATAGAATCTAAGAATATAAAATAAACCAAAAGCTAAGTTACAGTTGATGAAAAATCACTAGTCTAGATTACAAATATCACAGATATGGCATTGGATAATGAACACAGCTTAAGGGAAAATACTGAAAACACTATATGACACTAGAATCACCAATAATAGGGGACAAATTGCCGCTATAAACTATGTAACACAAAATGGCGTCACACACATGGCACTCTCTCTCTCTCGAGATCTCTGGAAAAAGGCTGCCTAGAACTTGCGCGTCCAGGGTTTTTAAATCAGAGCAGAAAATGTCATCACATGACGTGACGGAAAAGTACTAGTGATTGTATAACTTTCCCAATGTCGATTACAAAAGCCAAAAACTAAATTATAAAAAAAAACACACAATAAAGTTGCATTAAAAAAGCTCGCGATACCTAGTTTTAAAAAAGTAATACAATAATTTATAATAGGCACTGTGCACAAGATATTTATGTTAAAGAAATTAGAATGTAATGTATTTGTACTAAACAACTTACCAAAATAGACATAATAACCTGAATAAAAGTCGTTAGGGTTGTAATTCCTGGCTATTGGCGAAATATAAATAAATACCACATTAACCAAACATTGCGTATTTTGATGTGAGATGCAACATATTTAAAAATACAAGAATTAATTCATTACGTATTATTTATTGTGTTGTTAATAAATATCGTGTAGGCTTTTTATAAAGTTCGTTTAGAGATAATCTCACGCAAGATTCCATTTTTAAGAGAGTTTCATTTAATATTTTATGCGTAAAGTATTAATTTTTAATTGATCAAATTTTTGTAGGGTTTTTATTCTTATTCCAACTTTAACCGTCAGTAAACAAATAAATATAACATGTCTACAGCGTTATTTTATCAAAGCACATAGGTTTTAAAATTGTAAAAAAAAATACATCTTGCAAAACTCGAATGAAAAATAAAAAGTCAATTCTTTAAAAAACATTTTGC